GTTCTGCAACTTGCCAGATGTCACTCTTTTGATTGGTGATTCAAATAGAGATCCAGCATGTCCCGGGGCTGGGGGAAAACAGACGGCCAAGATAGCAGTGCTAGGGAGAGGGACAATAACTAGCTCAGACCATTGTTATTTACAGACCGCGATAAACGTGTTTCCATTTCCCGGTCCAGAGAGAGAGCGAGCCCGATGGGCTAGCTAGAGTGCAGGAGGTCAAAATGTAATCCTCAGCTCTTCATGGTCCGAGACCATTGTGAGTGAGCATCAGCGTGCCAGGGTAGCTCTGAAGTACTGCCAGGTGTGTGCCCCACTCCCCCACAAAAAAAGTGTTTCAATTTCATAACGAGCATGGCAACATATTGGAGCTTACATGCAAATCTAACATGTTTTAATTTCCTAGGGGAAATATACAAATCTTTTAATATTCACTGATGGTCACTTTATTATCTTCAGTAATGTTCTCAAACTTTGAGAAATAAAATCTAGCAACTTGCTGTGCTAACAAAGAAATAGATACTTATTTATTATAGAACCTAATGCACTTATATTTTATTTATTTTCAAAAATAGAGCACTCAAACTACCTAGTGCTTCTTATACATTCCAAACTATTAAGAAAAATTGTTCTGTCATACTAATATCCTTTTAAATCAATTTTCAATAACTTTGAAATCGATGCAGTTATTCAGGTAATGCTTAGCCAACAAGAAACAATCCCCAAGGTATGTTTTTGATAAAACCATGTATCTGTTATCATCTAATTTATCAACGAGTATTTTTAAATGTTATGACATGCATAATTAGTTACAATAATGTTTTTTGTTCTCCCTCTAGAATGTTCAAGCATAATTGCTGGCTTATATAAAATGGTTCTTCAGTTGTAAATTGGTATAAAAAGCTCCTTTTGGTGACAGATCTAATGTCTGCCATCTGTTTGCAAGGGATGAAGCCCCAGTGCTGCCTAATTGGTCATAAATTAGGCATCAGTAACAGATTTTTGACATGATCCTTAGTTACAGGATTTTTTTCTTCTTAACTGTGAGTTTGACATTTGGTGGACAGCTCGAGTTCTCTCTTTAAAAGCACAGAAATATGCTTCTGTAAGTCCGAGAAACTTTTCTGTTTTTTAAGCTAAACCATTTTCAAAGTGTCCACCCTCTTCTTTTAAACATACAGAGATAATTTTATGCTGAGTAGAGAGAAAAACTGAAATAGCCAAGTCTACAAGAACAAGGTCATGTTTATGGAGTGCTTATTACATCCTTGTGCTGTGCAATTGATAGACTGTTTTCTTTTCTTTTTTTTTCTTTTGCGTCACACCCAGCGATGCTCAGGGGTTACTCCTGGCTCTGCTCTCAGCAATTACTCCCCCGGTGCTTGGGGGGGCCACACGGGATGCCGGGGATTGAACCCCAGTCGGCTGCTTGCCAAACACACACACCCCTGATCCTGTTCAAGCGGGGACTCCCGACCTTCCTTCCAGTCTCCGGGCCTGGCCCCGCCCACACCGCAAGTCCCGCCCATCCCCGGCCACGCCCACAACACGGCTTGCCCTGGGGTGCCCGGACTGTACCCACCCGCACCCCCGCCCGTATCTTCCGAGGCTGTGGCCCTATCCCCTGTGGGCCCAGCGCATGCCCTCCTGGAGGCCCCTTCCAGTGGGTCCTCTGGGTTCTGTGGCCGGTGAAGAAGCGAGGCTGGCCCAAGGGCAAGAAGAGGAAGAAGATTCTGCCCAATGGGTCCAAAGCCCCACTCACGGGCTACGTGCCTACCCCGGTACCCCATAGCTCTGGCCCCAACTATTTGATTTCAAATCCAATTTATAATTTGCATAATATAAAATTGAGCAGTTTAAGAATTTGACTTATCATAACATTGGTATCAACGTTGTAGGAGTGAATTTATTTTTTAGAAAATTCGAATGTGGGCAAAACTTGATGTTTCTTCATCTCGCAGAATTACAGTTATCTAGTCCAGTTCCTTCATTTCAGCTACCTCACAAAATGCCATTCATTTGTTTCTTTGCTTAATTAGGACTTTATCATTTACTTTGAAGCAAATCTAGTTACTGCATTTCCATGGGCTTCAGTTTTCTCTTCTATGACACCTCTTACCTACTTTCTAAGTGAGATCTCATACATTTGGGAATCCTTAAATTAAAAATGAGATTAATCTGGCTGCTCATCCATCCCTAATCACCTGCCAACCCCTTCACTCTATTATCACTGCTTTTCTCAAGATTTTCTCAATATACATTTTAGAAAAAAAGTTCAAGACCGAAGTTCCCAGGTTTCCTTATAGCCCAGTGCTTATCTATGAACTTTTAATCTCTCCACATGTTCACGGTATAGAAAAATTAAGAAAAGAGAGAAATATATGTTCTTTAAGCAACTTTTCCTTGTTTTCCCATAAATTTCTCAACTGTGGCCATTTTTATCAAATATTTTCTTGACAATATCATTTGCTATTTCCTCCTACCCATCATCTGAAAACTTTTAAAGATTCTGCTAACGCCTCCTACTTCTGCCTCTTCTTTTTCCTGCCAAAGTGCACTGCAATTTGTTTAATTAAGCTAATCCAAGCATGAGTCACCAGTGGTATTGATCAGTGTCAACATGGTAACCTATTTTTTTTTTTGTTTTTGCAAGAAGCAACCCCTCTGTCAGAGTGTTTTAACTTCCTCAGCAGAGATTTACTCTTTGCAATCCATTTTTGTCTCGTTTTAAAAATCTTTTTGTTGTATGTTTGTTTTGTTTGGGGGCCATAACTGGTGGTGCTCGGGGGTCACTCCTGGCTTTGCGGTCAGGGATCACTCATGGCTGGCTTGAGAAACTATATGGTGTGCTGGTGATTGAAACCCGGGTGGTTTCATGCAAAGGAGCTGCCCTCAACAGTTTTGTAACTCTGTATCTCACGGTGATTCAATTAAAAAAATGCTCTACCTGCTGTACTCTGGCCCCATTTTTCACCTCTTTTTTAAGAAACATCCCCCTCCCCAGATTATTAATAGTACTGGCCTCTATAGACACCCACATGCATCTTAATTTTTTTTTGTATTAACACTGCTCTCTTGTGAAATTTTCTCATGGTTCCCAAGGTTTTCCATAACTCTCTGATTGTTAATCTTTTGGTTTTAGATACTGGTTTCTCTTACCCCCACCTGCCTCTCAAATATAAACATTTATTTTTTTGAGCTTTGTTTATGCAGTTCTATCTAATCTCATGGCTTTAGCTAAAAGTTCTTTGCAAGCAGTTTGTAGACTGAGTTATCTCTAAAGTCTCTGCTCTGTATTTCTACTTCCTGCAAGTCATCTGTCCATGAATGTCCATCTTCTTAGCCAAGTTCATCATACTTTATTGAAATACAGCTATGCCTTCCAGCTGTGTTCTTAGATCTTTTTAATACTTGCTATATACCTATTTTTCTCCCTTCACACTGAATCAAATGTTAAACTCTCTGCCTTTACTGTCTTATTCTTATACACTACTCCTGTAAATGGGCTCGTCACCTTACTTGAATTCAGACTCCTAACTAGATATTTCACCTGAGCTTTTCTTTTGATTCCTCTTTTATATAAGATCCTCATATTAGTCTGCCAAATATAGTATACTATGGAAATTAAGGACCTACATAAAATTGTCAGATACCATACCAACTTTATGCCAACAAACAGTAGTCTCAATCAGCCCCATTGTATTTATGAACTATTTGCAAATAGCTCATAGTTCATAGCTCATATGTATTACTCACACTCTTAACTCAATTTAGACTACTCTCTTGTACTTTCTGGTATACCTAATAATGGCATTTGTTACAAAAAGGCTTCCCTGAATGTCTTTGTAATCAGTCACCTCCCTCCTTTTTCAGGGGAAGACTCCCACATGTGCATTATTTGTGTATAGGAAACATCTTCTATATTAGATGACTCTGAAATCACTAAAAATACCTTTCTGTGGTAGAATTTCAATAATATTATTAGTTGAGCAAAAGAATGAATGGGTGCATATTGGTAATTTCTGGGAACCTGATAAAAATATCTGAGAGTTAATCCTAGATATAACCTATCATTCTGTAGCTATACTACAGCTCAGATTCTAGATGTACAATAGGGAGGAGGCATCCAAAGTCGATTCGTGAATCAAACCTGAATTCAACATCCAGCTCCATCCATCAGAAGTGATCAGTTTCAGTCCACACTACCACTCACAGCCTCTATTCCACCTCTAATGGATCCACTAAAGTTAATATTTTACAATCCTATCATAAATCAATTTTTTCCAGATCACTAATCCATAAATACTACAATGAGCAAAATCCTGGCGGACCAATTTCAGAGGATACATCTGCTTTTATTGACTCTTAAAGAGTCAACGATCTGATATTTATTAAGTTTAGTCCGCGAATCCTTGACCTAATGACAAATTCAAGTAGGAATAGAGAGGAAGAACAGGGAGAAACATCAAAATTTTAATGACCCTAAAATATATGCCTATATCTAGAGCTGATACTTTATCCAAAACTGTCTTCCTTAAATGCTTCTATTATAGGAGTCTGGGAATGGAAAAAAAAAACAGAAAATGTATCTAAAACTTGCTCAAGGAATAAACCATTTCTTCTTTATCCTCCTCCTCCCTTACTCCAAAAGGTTTGAAACAAACATTGGTTGGGGAAAAACACCTTGGACACACTTTCCCTCTTACTTTCTCCTTAATTTTCATAATGTTCCTAAGTCATTGCATTAACCCAGTTTAAAATAAGCAAATTGAGGTTAACATGTACAAAATTACAAAAGCAAAACTAGACACTATAGTTATGCTATAGCAGATTTTACAATGAAAAATACATAATAAGTATTAATAGTTCCATAAAATGTCTAACTCCAAATACTTATATTTGACACTGAAAGAAGTGTGAATTAAAATGTCTAACTCCAGGTACTTATATTTGTCGCTGAAAGAAGTGTGAAATGTGCATTAAAAAAGCAAAAAACTTACTCTCTGTCGATCACTAGGCAGGTTACAGCTTCTGCAGCAATTACATTTGCTGTTCTCACATCTTCCCTATTAAAAAATAAAAGAAAATTGGAATAAAATAACACGTACTATCAAAGAAAAGTATTTCTTTTCAAATACATTGATTCCATATGATTAATTCCAGAACCATATAAAATGATGCACATGCTTACGATTTACCCACATCCAGTGTTAAATTCTGTTTGTATCTGTCATGAGAAACCACCTTTTGTCATTAATCACAGTAATACAAATCCTACAGTTATCATCTGATTGCTAGAGTTTACAAACTAAATGCTTCCTTCACTCAAACAGGTGAAAAAAAATTGTATCGTCATCCTTTGTGCTCTTTGAGGAATTAGTTGCATAATGATAGACAATAATGAACAAAGTTTTTCTTTTTTTTTCTTCCTGGTGTTAGGGATCAAACTCTGGGCCTCACATAAGCAAGGCAAGTACTCCACTACTAAACTTTAAAACTTTTTTAAAAGACCTGATGATATCCCGCTGACGTCTGCGTAATTAGTTCTTCAGTGTACTGAATTAAACTTTTAGAACATATATTATGTCTTAATTACTTTGCATTTAGAGACTTTGGTTAAATATATCTAATCTCTTGGCAGTTCATAGTAGTTATTTATTTATACCAAATTTTATGGTTCTGTTGCAAGAACTTAAGTTCTTGAAACACTAGATGAACTTAAGTCATACTGAATGATATATGCATATAATGTCTAAAAGCAACCGGTTTTTCACTGAAAAAAAAAAAAAACAAACTATCAGCCTCTTAAAACTTTAAAATTCTGTCTGATAGTTCTTATCCAGTGGTCATAGGTAGACTTGGAAAATGTATGTTCACGTTTCCAAAGAAATAGTGAAGAAATAGCTAAGAGGACGAAAAACCTCCAGCTCCGGGCACATCTCTTTGATTCCACTGTTCTTTCTGCATTAACATACGCCTCAGAGACCTGGGCCCCACAAAAGCAGGATAAGAACACTATTCGGGTCTCCCAAAGAGGAATCGGAAGAGCTGTGCTTGGAGTATCACGCTTCACTCAAATGAGAGAATGAATCCGGAGTTCCAAGAATCAGGGAAGCTGCCTCATTTGCCAAGTCGTTGAAAATCAGATGGGCTGGACACGTAATGAGATTTAGAGGCGACCGCTGGACTAGAGCCCATTACCGATTGGATTCCACAGGAAGTCAAAAGACCACGTGGCCACCCACCTACCAGAGAGTCAGACTTCTTCATCAAGATCATGAATGATCGGTTTGAGGCTCTTCGCATTCCTAGAAAGAACAGATGCTATTGGGCTATATTAGCATGCAACAGGGACAAATGGAGACGTTACTGGTGCCCACTCGAGCAAATTGCCAATTAATGGGAAGTCAAGTGATCAAGTGATGTTCACATTTTATTTTGAGCTTTTTAAAAATTTGAATGCCATAGTCATAGAAACATAACTTATAAGTTATATTTGAAAATGTACCTTTTCCTTGAAAAAAATCCTAAATTTATGTAATTCATGATAAAATTTAAGTTTAAATAACATTAAAATATGCATATAAAATAGTATGACTAATACATTTTAAGAAACATAACATCTTTAATCTCCAATTATAAGATTCAAAATACAGTTTTTTCAGGTAGATTTTAAATTTATTTCAAAGTATAATAGGGATTATGGCTATTTAAATCCTTATTTTCTCCATTATCTTTTGCTTTTGTGATATCATGGTGTTAAGATTTGTTTATATTTCAAACTTCTTTGTCCTAAGATGCTACCTAACTTTTGTCAGTTGCATTATAGTAATTGATATTCAGTATTTGGTATTTCCATTTTTTTATTAAATTATTTTAAAGAAATGAGGCTGGAGTGATAGCACAGCAGGTAGGGCATTTGCCTTACACATGGCCAACCCGGGTTCGATTCCCAGTATCCCAGATGGTCCCCTGAACACTGCCAGGAGTAATTCCTGAGTACAGAAGTGCAGAGCTAGAAGCAACCCCTGTGCATCATCAGGTGTGACCCAAAAAGCAAGAAAAAAAGGTAAATTTTTTAAAGAACTATTTTAATAGTCTTCTTAAATATTAGCATTTCACAAAATTTTAAAATAACTTTTAAATTTATTAAGGAAACCCACGGTTTTATTTCAGTGGAGTTGTACTATATTTATATATTAATTTCAGGAGGGATTTTGTGATTATATTACTTTTCCATCAAGTAATATGACATGACCCTCCACTTATTCAGAACTATTTTTATGTGTTTTAAATTAATTTATCTTTTTACTTTGCTCTTGGCATTTTTTTAAAAAGTATTATAAGGCATTTTGTAGCTTCAGTTTCTCTTGTGAGACAGTTCTTTTCCTTTTCTGTTTCTCAACTGTCAATGCTACTAATGAAAACTTAACTGCTGTGTAATTTTAATCTATCTACCATACCAAACTCTCTGCGATTAAAATATTTATTATAACTTCAATAGCCAGCACAATGTTCCTGGAGGTTTCACACATAATCCATCTTTCATTCAAACTGAACTTAGAATTACTGACACATCATCTCCACAGTATCACGAGTTCTTAAAGTAATGAGGAGGCCCGTCACCAACCCTGCTCATCCTTTAGATATGAAACAAGGTTGTCCTCAGAGAACCATCCAGAAATAACTAGATCAAGGTTTTCCCCTCTTCCTTTACTTGAAGTCCCAAATTCTTTATCTCCATCCCGGGGTCTATCACATATTCTAATTTAAACAATTGTTTGCGTAGTCACCTGGTTAATTATTTCATATTCTTCCCAATAAACCACAATAACGGCAAAGCCCCAGATCAGTTTTCTGTTTGTTTTATCCAAAAATAAAGGGTATATTACTGAGAAAAACAAAACAAAACAAAACTCAACAAAACGGAAAAACAGGTTTGTGTTAAGTGTGAGGTATCAGAATGGTGCTGTCATCATCCTGTAATAAGAGTGTTACCATTCTGTTAAGATCTGTAAGATATATAGCAGAATTCAGGCTTTTTTGGCTTTGTTTTTGCTATTTTGTTTTGGGGCAACACTCAGTGGCGCTCAGGGCTTATTCTTGGTCCTACACGGAAGGACCATACCTGGTGAGCTAAGGCAACAATATGGGATACCAGGGATCCAACCTGGTTGGCCTCAGGCAAGGCAATTGTCCTACCCATTGTCCTATTGCTCTGACCTATGCAAGCGTCATACTCTGGGGTTACTATATCTTCCTTTTATACAATATAAGTTACTCATTTTGAGAGATGCTCAAGTTTCTTCATCTGAAAAAAAACTATAGGATAAGTAGCTGTTTACTGACTGGTACTAAATGAGATCATCAGACATGAGTTTTATCATAAATCCCGGTGCGTAGAAAAAAGTGTTTTCTGCTATCTATATTAATTCTTCTCATCATGTATAGGTCTGTCCTTGTGGGATGCTATCTGGTGTTTTATGAAATCTTCCTTACCTAAGAATAAACTGAGCTTTTTCACTCTGATCCATGGGAATAGACAATAAATTTTTCAAATACATCACATTTTAAGTAGGGATATTTTGTGAAGTGGACATGAAGAGAAAACATCAATAATTTTCATTAGGTCCTCTTAACTGATATAAATCACATAGGAAACTGCTTATAGCAGCCTAGATGATTAGAAATTGTCATTAGCATAAAGCCAAAAACTCCAAATTTGATAGTTTAACAGAGAACACAGACTCAAATTTAACTTTCCTTAAAATATACTTTCATGCTGATAATTTAGTTTTGAATTTGAATTATATGCAAAAAATAATGCATTGCTGTGAATACATTTGCCATGTACATGAAAATGTTAATGCTATCACCACAACTTTTCAAGATGTAAATTCTATATTATGTGTCCTAATTTGTAAAAGCTTTTAATCCCTGGGCCTGGAGCAATAGAACAGCAGGTAAAATGCTAGCATTGCACTTGAGCAACTCAGGTCAGTTTTAATTCCAGCACTCCAAATGGTCCCCAAAGCCCTGCCAGGACTGATCCCAGAGTCCAACCTAAGAGCAAGCCCTGAGTACCACTGGTCTTGGCCCCAGACCAAAACTAAATTAAATCAGATACATAAATTTGATTACTATACAACAAAAAGAAAATCTACAATTATTTTGCAATGTAGACAGAAAAAGTATTAAAGACCAAATGATTGCTACAGTCAAGTGAAATTGAAAATATTTTTAAAGGATTATTTCCAAGTTATTGACTCTAGTTAGGCTTGGAACCTAGTCAAGTGACATATATTAAAACAAAAGACATAGCATGGGGGAAAACCACATATTAAAAGACAGTCTTTGTCTTTTATTGAACAACTAGTATAAAAATCAGAAGTTACATTAAACAATTTGCAAATATCTCATTTACTGCCTAGAACAAGGGGTGAGTAATTTGTTGCAATTTGTGCATGAAAATATAATTAGGTAACATACCCAATATCAGACCATTTAATTTGTTCCAGCCTTAGAATTTGAACAAAATCTGACTGACTCTGAAACTCATCTTTCTTCCACCCATAGTATGTTGCTAATATTAATTTCAGATTTTGGTTTGACAATCAGTCTAAACTCATTTTAACACAACCTAAGCCTTGAGCAGTAAAATAATGTTTCTGTAATAAAGTATATATTCAATTGCTTTTAAAAAAATTTCTGGGTGCCTCACTGCAAATCTAACTCAGTAAATCATTTTGAACTTTCAGTTGTTACAATTCTTATCCATGATAAGGCCTTTCTTCCCATGTTGTTTTATAGGTAATGCTGCAGCAATAGAAAATTATTCAAAACCAAGTTCATCTAATGCCAAACTCATGTTGCCATTACACTGTCACATAATCTCTACTTATTTAAGGTGCTGTAATGCCATTATACCTAAAGATTCCATGTTGAGTCTCCTCCAATGTGAGATTAAATATCATTTGAGTTGGTATAGACATATTTTAATCCTTTATTTTAGGGGAAATGGTTTACATTTTTTATGAGAAAAAATATTCATAAATTGAAAATACTG